GTTTTCTGTCATGACAAAGAGAAGCCAATACATAATTTACAATGAAAACATATTGCTTTGCTCTGTTTGAGATGGATAAACGTGGCCTAGATTGTATACACATGATGAGTAGTATTTCAGTGAGGAAGAAAAAAATGGTTGAGCACTTACGGTTCCTTCAGCCAGGGCTGAGATGACGTTCCCCAGAGCAGAGAGAGACTTATTGATATTTTTAGCCTCGTCCAGCACAGATCCCTCAGCTCCAGTTTTACTGACCTGTGAAAGAGAGAAAGTCAGAGGATGAGAGAAAAATAGGAGGGATATTATATCACTCTGCAGTTTATTGTGTAGTTTTATTAAGTCAGGGAGTTTAAACTTTAAATCCACAAACCACAATTACTGATAATATACAGTAGAGAAGGACAAAAAAAGATTCGATCATACTCAAATAATTCTAATTTTAGACTTGGATATGAAGTTTTAAGATGTTGAGGAAAATTATCTGCATTATTTACAAATTTATGCAAATATGGTCACTCAAATTTGTAGGTTTATAGTATAACATATAAAACAATTGAAGATTTCAAATACAAAAACTGAAATGTTCTCCTAAAATTAGCATTTTTCTCAGGCTCCAGTGTAGGTTTAGTAATTTCACTTTAATGCCAATGACTAGGTGCCTATCATTGCCTTTAAAGTGAATTAACTGAACATAAACAGAAAGCTGAGGAAACATGCCTTTTCACTTCCAGCCAGATCCACCAGGTAGAGTTTTCCACTCAGTTTCTTCTCTGTCTCCACATTTTCCTGCTTAATATTAATGAGGAAAATGCTGTGACTGCGGGAGCTGTGCTCATTCATGTCTGTAACACAATGTAACATCAGAGAACAAGTCAAGATGACAGCACTGTATATTAGCTATATCTGATTCTGGATAGATGTACAGTATTTTATCAGGGAATGGTCACTCACTTGTGACAGCCACATGGCGATTGGCTTTACCCTCGTCAATCACATCCATGACATCCTCTGGACTGGACACAAAGCGCTCTGTGCAACCCTGCAAACAGAAGAGCATTAAAACACACTGTCTGCATAACGTCTGTAATTGGAAAACTATGTGCTGTGCATCTGTCCTACCTTGACAAAGGGCACCCTGTTCTTATCCTCGTGTACAGCCAGGTTGGTTTTTGAAACTTTAGAATTGGGAAACAAAAAGAAATTTGGTGCATGAAAACAGATTTATAGAATTTTTAACAGAAACTTAACATTCATGAGAAAAGTGATAGTTTTTTTTTGTTTTTTATCTCACCATCAAGCAAGTCTCTGATTTTGTCCAGGTATATTTCAAAATAAGAGACCTGTAGTGAGGGATGTGATTTTTTGTTAATTAAAATGAAGTATTATTTGAAATAATGATAATAAATTAAAAAGTGACTTTATACTTAAAAATAACTCATTTAAGTTCGTCTCAAACAACATCTCACAGTCACACAGCAAACCAGCATTCATTATATTGCAATAAAATGATTACATTCTGTAACATTTATTTATTATTTTTCAGGCTGCTATAAACTTAAGGATTTTTATACTTGGTAATGTAGGCGCATTATTAAAAACAATATGAAGTTTAATTATTTCAAAAGTGTAATTGTACAGCTGCCTAATGGACACTTTTCATATTTGGGTCATTTTCAAAAATCATCACATTTGGCAAACTTCTATAGTGAAAATTGTAATTTCTGGATTTATTTGAACCAACTCATTAAGTATTGAGTATTGAGAATAGAGAAAAGTCAAAATTATGGTCACTCCATCAGCCATTGTGTTATAAACACTCACACGGAAGTGCTTACAATTTTTCTGTAATGTTGCATAGTATGATCTTATGTACTGTAAACATAATTTCGAAAAAAATATTTTCGAAAAAAAAAAAAACTCAAAAAAAGAAAAAAACAATGCATTACATTGTTTGAAGAAGTGCATCTGTGAAGAAGTGGTCTGTACCTTGATATGGAACTCTAGGTTTTCATCCATAGAGTAGATGTGTTCAAAGATGTCCTGGGCGATGCGAGGGATGATGCCCATCAGCTGTGCATTATGAAGCTGCCCCTAAAGGTAACAGGTTTGTATTGTTGTTATTTTTAGTGTAGGCAGATTCAATAATTATAACTGCAGTTTTTGGAAACATTGTTACTAAAATACTATACAGAGAAAAAAACTCTAATAATTCAAGAACTGTTTATAGTTTGGTTTACCCATGTAGCCATTATGTGGCATGCATTCCTCAAACACAAAACATGCTATATGTATTTTGTTCAAGTTTCATACATGTTTTGAACATAGTAGAGGTTTATATGCGAGTAATTTATAGGTGTATGTGCTCGTGTTGATAAGCGAAATTTGATTTAAATCGTACATGGCGCCTCTTAGCCATTTGTGTTTGCCTTCTCTTCATTGCCTTCTCTTCTAACATCGCTGGTTTCAGTGTCGGGGAGGTGGATGGTGGTGATGGTGAGGCGACAGGTTGATTTAAACTTTTATGATGCCTCATCTTCTGACTCTCAGTATGTTCTATCGGGTGGAACAGATTTTATGTGTTCCTGCTGCTAGTCAGCACCACTCTCCCGCACATTTTGCAGAGCACCGAAACTATAAGATTATCTGAACTTAAAAAGCCAAACCACTTCCACACTATGTCTTTCCTCTCTCATCAACTAATTCGTCTGCATTCTTACTTGTGGAAGCTTGTTTATTCACATCTATATTCAGGGCAGTCATTTTATAGTTAAAACTTTCTGTGACGGAGCTTAACCAACTGCTAAGGTGCTGGCAGCGTCTGTGATGTACGTCATCATGCAAGTGACATCACGCTCTTTCTGACGGCTAAGTACTGAAAGTCATTCAGTGACAAATGATACAATGTAGAAGATCTTATAAATATATAATAAAATACATATATGCAAGTTTATATTGAAATACCGAAAATAGGTTTAAAAATCATATCACTGTTATTGAAAAAAAATCTATCGCGATATACATTGATATCGGATTATTGTCCAGCCATATTAAAAAGTGTATTTAGATAAATTTAAATGTAATGTGAGATGCATCACATTCAACCTCTAAGTAATTTAAAGGTATAATTCATCCAAAAATTAAATGATGTCATTATTTACCCACTTTTCACTTGTTTCAAACCTGTTTGAATTTCCTTTGTCTATTTTAAAGAAAGTTAAAAACCAGTAGTCTTTGACATCCATAGCATTTTACTTCTACTATAGATGTCTATGGCAATAGTATCAAGCATTCTTCAAAATATCTTTATTTATGCTCAACAGAAACTGATAGAACCATTTAAGGATGAGCAAATGATGTTTACATTTTCATTTTGGGTGATCTATCCATTTAAGCATTTGACATAAAAGACAATGCGGACACATTTATTACATTGATTAAAAAAATGCCCTAATAGATGTAAAATAATGTTGTAGAAATCAGTCCCCTCTTAATTGAAAAGCTAAATTCTGGCCTGTGTTTTTTTTGCTGAAAAATTAAAATACTGATCATTTGCATGATAATTTGCATGTTTCAATGATTGCAAAAAGCAATTCGTTTTCACAAACAATTTACAAGCGACTGAATTTATTGACTTTATATTCAAAGCATTCGTGAAAGCTCAGGCTGTTTCCAGGGAAACGCCAGCAGTCCAGTGGCATTTTGCAGCTGTTTGGCATTTCAGTCATTTCATGAAAGATGCTGAGAGACATTCATCCACCTCAAGCATTTTATGACACTTTCTCACAGTAGCTGTATATGCGGAATGTTATTGTTTTATTTAACTATAGAAGAGCATGAACTTGAAACCAAATGTGATATGATATAATGGCATAATAGCTCCTTACCTCCATAGTGTGAGTCTTCCCTGATGAGGTTTGGCCATAAGCAAAGATGGTCCCATTATAGCCATCCAGCACATCTGAAAGGGCAAGATTCATGTTTCAAATATCCATACATTTCCTTAAAAACATTATACTATAATATAATTTGAATTATTTCTGCAAATCTGTAATATACCTTTAACGATCTGTTTGGCACAGGTATCATATACTTGTTCTTGTGTTGTGTTTGGAGGAAGGACTCGGTCGAAGATATACGGCTTGCCCTAAAAAGACAAGCAAAGTAGTCAAGATACTGTAATAAATGGGTATTAACAGGTAAAGTAGTCTATCTCTAAAACTACATGTGACAAATATTTAATTTTAAGCTATAAAACTAAAAACTAATAGATTTAATGTACAATGCTCAGCATATATAAGTACACCCCACACAGATCTTTCTTTTAAATAAATTATTAATTTAAAATTTCTTTTAAACTCTCAGAAATCTTTTCAAAAGGTACAAATTTGTACCTAAAAGGTCTATATTAATACCTCAAGGGTAAACATTAGTACCTAAAAAGAACAAAAGTGTTCCTCTTGTTTTTTTAAGTACTAATATATACTTTTGAGGTACCAATATGGACCCTTTAAGTACAAATGTGTACCTTTTAAAAAGGTACCACCCCAGTGACAGCTCGCTTACCTTTATTTCTGACAGTGTACTAAACCTTAAACTGGTACTAAACAACTTAAGATCACAGTCCAAAAATAAGTAAACCCAAGTGAACATGTTAGAAGGAAATATAAAATCAAATTATGATAAACAGAACAGAAAAAAGCAAGAGAAACATAAAAGTTAGTATTTTTTTTCTTTTTTGCAATAATTAATTTTAATTCTCTATATCTTTCTATTCCTAAATATGTTAGGTAAACAAAGTCTTGTTCTAATGGATATAATCGTTTAATAACAACTTTTTGTTTTAATGCGCCAGCATTTATTTGCTATATTTACTGAGAAATAGTTAAATTGTAAGGTTTCTATGTAAGGTTTCTAAACAAGTGTGTTTTCAATATAGTGTAAGTCATATATATTTTGATCATTTTTCACAATTGATTCATGGATTGAAGCTGATGACTCTTATAAACCGTCCCAGTGCATCTTTCTTTTGCTGACACTGCTAAAATTCAGCAAATGGCTGTTTATAAAGTTCCCCAGAGGACTTCAGTGGAATACATTGGCTTTCAGAACAAATATGAGGGACCTTCTGATTAAAACAGCCCTTCCCCCAACTGCCAGTCAATCTTATTGAGCCCCAACAAATCCCTTTCTTTTGTTTTGATTGTCTGAGCCTGAGCCTGCTGGTGAGCTCTATTCTAAAGACTCTGAAACTGATCAGCGATAAAAACTACTTTTCAAAAAAGAGAGAAGTAAGTGAACTGAAATGTTACAAAAGTAATGTAAAGCTTTAGTTAATAATTAATTTTTGAACTAGAAACATGTTGGAACTTCTAGTAACAGGATTACACGTATGATAATGTGGTGCATATGTGTGAATTATACTTTTAGCAGTACACAAGTAACACATATGGAGGGCAATCAAGATCAAAAGTCGTTACACTAAAATATGTGAAATTTGAGTATGGCTGTGTCAATGTGTCATATTTTGACCATGTCAATTGAATGTTTTGCAATGGTTGTCACATATGTATACAAACATCAGACGGAAAGATTATCCATGAAGGACAGAGTAGGCTAATGGTACATATATAAATTTCAAACTTTCTCTGTTTTGCATGTCAGCAGCTGGGTTTCCATGACCCTGTGTTAATGCACAATTGAAAGTATTCCATGAGAATTGAGTGATGGAAATGATAAATTTCAATGAAAAAAAAAATTCATGAAATAATTCATGAAAAAAAAAAATGTGTTTACTTAAGGGTGGTTTTGGACTTATGTGAAAATAGGGTTAATGCAATTAATGGGAAATGTAGAAGCACTGAATGTACTCAGATATAACTGACATTACACATACATGATTAATCAGCTGTCTCCATAATTCTTGACTTGTTTACTGATGGTTACTAGGTAACCAATACTATAGTCAGCCACTCCTAAGTGGATCACACACTGGATGCGCTGCTCAGCGCCGCGCATATGACTGTTGGAAGTAATGCCTACATTTAGAAATATGAACAGTGTCCTGAGCTGTAGCTGGGCGACGCAGACAGCCGCCGACTTGCAGCGCTGTTGTGTATACCCTCATAGAAATCTACACTCAAAAACATTTCTTTTAAATTGTTCAAACTACTTAATTAAAATGAGCTGAAACAACACAATTCTTGAGATTTCATTGGGACAACTTTTTTTTATGTTCAATCCACATAAGTTTGTTAAAAGTGTTAAGTTAACTTAATCAATTTGTGTTGGGACAACATGAATGAATTGTGTGGAACCCTGCATTTTTTACAGTGTATGTTTAGAATTCTTAAATGCATGACGCTGTGTGGTGCGGTGTCGATTGGTGCATCCAGTGTGTGACCCCCCTAACAACTTGACCTAATTTGCATTTGATTTTTTCTTTTTTTTTTTGAGAATTTTTAAAAGATTCACATTAGGATAGAAATCCAGCTTGTGTTGTTGAAAATGTCAGCTTGATTAGGATTTACATTAGTTTAAAACACCAATAAATTACTTATAAAAGGTCTAGGGTGAATTTGAGTACTACAGGACCTGGTACTCACAGCAGTTTCTTGTCATAGAGATTGTCAGTGCTTTTGCTCTAAGCTCACACTGTGCTCTCTTTTCTTTTTGGCTGACCTGATAAATAGTCCATGTGGCTGAAAACATCTTTACCTAATTTAAACATATCACCCTTTTTTGATCTTGATCTTTTTTTTTTACGGAACGAGTTGATGGGAGGGAGAATAGGGTGTTAAATGTTTGCTGTGTCAACATGATTATTATTCTGTAACTGCAATCGTCATTCAGTGTTTGTAAAGGTTGCAGTTTAATGTCGGTAGTGTAAACTATAAGGAAATTTATCAAAACTATATTTGAATTTGATCGTGAAAAGTATAAAAATATAACTATAATTATTATTGGTGAAAATATGATGCTGAAATCTTTTCAGATACAGTTGAATCAGAATTATTAGCCCCCTTTGGATTTCCCAAAATTTGTTAACAGAGCAAGGAAATTTTCACAGTATGTCTGAGTATATTTTCATCTGGAGAAAGTCTTATTTGTTTTATTACGGCTAAAATAAAAGCAGTTTTTATTTTTAAACACCATTTTAAGATCAATATTATTAGTCCCTTTAAGCTATTTATTTTTTTGATTTTCTACAGAACAATCCATAGTTATACAATAACTTGTCTAATTACCCTGACCTGCCTAGTTAACCTAATTAACCTAGTTAAGCTTTTAAATTTCACTTTAAGCTATATGGAAGTGTCCTGAAAAATATCTAGTCAAATATTATTTACTGTCATCATGGCAAAGATAAAATAAATCAGTAATTAGAAATCAGTTATAAAAACTATTATGATTAGAAATGTGTTGAAAAAAATATCTTCTCTTTGTTAAAGAGAAATTAAGGGGAAAAAATAAGCAGGGGGGCTAATAATTCTGACTTCAACTGTATTTTGAGATATGTCTGATTAATATATAAAGAAATTCAAAAGAATTATTACCAAAGAGTTTTTTAATACAATCTACAATGTTACCTAAATACATATGCGTAATGAATAAAAAAAATAAACAAATGAATAAAAAGGCAAGTTTGTTTGTTCTTTTACACTGCAAAATCAGCTAACCAAAGTACAAGATGATCAATGCTCTGTTTACAATTGCAGACCGAGATCAAGGGGAGCACATGTAGTTTTGTCAGCAGTTTTTCTTCATCCTCCATATGCACACAAACATGCTCTCCCATATGGAGAGATCATCACAGATCCAGCTCTATCCTAAACCTTATTTTACATCTGTTAGCGTAACTAAGAGATGAAACGATCCCGTATATGCATCTGCCCTGTTGATTATCCGTGTATGAGGGCTGACAGTGTTCACTCAGACACATGATTCCTCTGTGTGTGTGCTTGATTTGGCAGGTAGGGGTCAAGTGTCCCCGCTGAGACACAAATGAAGGCTGTTGCTCAAACCCAGACCATCACCACGGAAACTACATCTCAGCTCGAAAGACATGCACCGATTGGCTGATAGTCAGCACCTGTCTACTGGCCAATGGGGGAGTAGAACAACGTGTTTGCTAGGAAGAACTGATGACAATTCACCGCTCATTTTCTTTCAGCACATCTTTTGTGCGATAAATGAAATCAATTCTGCAGATTAGATTAAATGATGTAATATATAACAATGAACATTGACTAAATAAATAACTCTGAGGGGTTAATAAATCTGACTTCAACTGTATATATTAATAGACAGACATTTCCAATCTTGCATAGACTTTTTAGGTGTACTGTACATTTATAGACTTTTATCCATGTTTTGCATTCTGATTACTTTCTATTGTAAAGACAAACAAAAGCTGAATATAAAAGCAGTACACATTTCTTTAAGTCAATAATTTATGCTATTATCTGGGGACCAGCAAGGCTTTTCCAAGTGCTCAGTAATTTTCCACCTTCAATCAAAAATCTATAGCGCCTACTTACTCAACAAATACTGCAATGAATAATGGATTTTTTCCTTTTTATCTCACATGGTTTGCAGAGCAAAAATAGCAGACTTCTAGTTAATAGAAATAATTTTAAAAAAAGTGTCATCTATAATTATTGGCTTCCTTGAGAAAATTTTTTTTTAATAAATACAAACTAAAAAAATACAAACTTTTCATTAAGAACAAGCAATGCAACCACAACTTTTCTACTGGCACTTTACAGATAGATCAAATAATGCACTAAATATAAAGGTTCCAGGTGGTGTGTGTGTTAGGCGATGTCAAAATAAACAAGAAAAAATAAATTAAGGCAGCTAGAAGGGGGTTTACACAGGCAGCAAGCATGTGCGTGTCCCACAACAATTGTCCCAATCCTCTGTGGACGTGCTTAAATATTCCAGTAAATCAGCCAAACCGTTCACTGCCAGTCATGGCCTCTCCAATGGCACCTCTGTCACTACGGCAACATAAATTACAGGCAGGAGCCCCGGGCCTCTTTGTGGCCTTGCACAGATAATAAGACTTTAGCATCCATATTAAACACTGCTGACCAGACCAACGCTAATAAAACCCCAGATCCTGACACATATTGACAGGCTGCAAATGACTAGTGATTTCCCACAGTCTCAAATGCTTTTTTGTGGGGTTTTACAAACACAAACCGTTTAATCTCTTCACTACTTTTTAGTTAATTAATTTTCCCATCCGAATTTTTGCTAAGTTGCTAAATAATTAGATAAATTGATGGTAATTATACGTAAATATATCTAAAAATTACTACTACTACCATTAATAATATAATATCATCATCTAATAAACTATAACATTCATTTACATGTTAGAATTAAATGCTATATTCTACACCTTTTTATTCATTTCGCATTCACAATTTATTCAAGGTTATATGAATGGACAAACTGTGTAATACCTTCACCCATTCAATCATTCATTCATTTTCTTTTCGGCTTATTTCCTTTATTAATCCCTGGTCGCTACAGCGGAATGAACCGCAAACTAATCCAGCACATGTTTTATGCAGCAGATGCCCTTCCAGCTGCAACCCATCTCTGGGAAACATCCATACACACTCATTCACACTCATACACTACGGACAATTTAGCCTACCTAATTCACCTGTACCGCATGTCTCTGGACTGTGGGGTAAACCGGAGCACCCGGAGGAAACCTATGCGAACACAGGGAGAACATGCAAACTCCACACAGAAACGCCAACTGACCCAGCCGAGGCTCAAACCAGAGACCTTCTTGCCGTGAGGCAACAGCACTACCTACTGCGCCACTGCGTCACCCATCTTCACCCCTGCTGCCTGTTTTTAATAATAAATAAACAGTCATTTGCAAATATATAATTTATGCTGCAGAATATGCTGCCCATATGAGTCACTAAATGATTACATACGTAACTTAGAACAGTTTCATTTTAGGAATTATTACTCACTTCACATTAAAAAGGATGTTACATGCAAAAGTCTATTTAAATAATTATCAAATAACCATGTAAATATATTTACTCTTACTTTAAAATTGTTGATGTTTTTTTCACAAAAAGTTTCCCCAAATTATTCCACAAAATTAATTGACTAAATCTGAATTCTTTTACTAGATTATTGTGTAAAAATAGCTTACTTTTAACTTTAAAATAATAATAATAATAATAATGATAATAGGAATGTTACTATTATTTTTAAAAACAAAAATATGTAATAATAAATAATTGAAATCAAGTATTAAACACATTAATACTTTAAAGTTGATCTTTATTACATTATGTAAATATGTAATCAATATAACTTATTTCTAAGACAACAACAAACTCTGTACCGCATCGGATTTCATTCCCTCACTGTAAATGCTAGCGCTCCCGTTTTTTTTTCTGACACCTCCCTGCGCACGCATCCTGAATGTTTACTAACATGGTAATTTGTCTATTGCTCTCATACAACTCTTTGCTGTTTTATAACATTATCTTTTGTCCTCATTTCATTACTTAAGTCATTACATACAAAAACGGTGAACTAGTTGTTAAAACCTGTCAAGCTAATTTTATACAAATTTTTTAATCTTTTATTTCCTGAAAATGTCTTCTAAATTGAACAATTTCATGAATGATTTACAGACCTGTGTATGTTGTAGGTTCAGTTTCAATATGTACTGCAATATTGTTTACAGTTGTGCACAGCTCTGTGCAGTTTATGTTTGTTGTAAACAAGGGTGTTTTTATTCTTTTGTACAATGCTGTGAATAAATTAGAATTGCAAAGAGCAAATGCAGTAAAAACGTGAAACATACATATTCAGTTTCTTGTACTCAGATAACTCACTAAAGGCAGTGATGTCTAACTTTACTTTGGTTTTCAAATGGCTGTGCAAATAGTGCTGTCTTGAGCATTTTTAAGGAAGTGTCACCAAAGTCAGACTTTTTTGCATTGAAAAAATGTAAAGTGTCATAATGAAAACATGACAAAGCCATTTGACTATCTTTTTTATAAACAATGATATCTTGACTTTTCATCTACAGTTGAAGTCAGAATTATTAGCCCCCTTTTGATTTTTTTTTTCTCTTCAAAATATTTCCCAAATGATTTTTAACAGAGCAAGGAAGTTTTCATAGTATGTCTGATGATAATATTTTTTTTCTGAAATAGAAGTCTCCTTTGTTTTATTTCGGCTAGAATAAAAGCAGTTTTAAATTTTTTAAATCCCATTTTTGGGACAAAATTATTAGCCCCTTTAAGCAAATTTTTTCCCCAATAATCTTCAGAACAAACCATCGTTATACAATAATTTGCCTAATTACCCTAACCTGCCTAGTTCACCTTTTTAACCTAGTTAAGCTTTTAAATTTCACTTTAAGCTGTATAGAAGTGTCCTGAAAAATATCAAGTAAAATATTATTTACTGTCATCATGACAAAGAGAAAATGAATCAGTTATTTGAAATGAGTAATTAAAACTATTATGCTTAGAAATGTGCTGAAACAATCTTCCCTCCGTTAAACAGAAATTGGGGAAAAAATAAACAGGGGCGCTAATAATTCAGGGGGCTAATAATTCTGACTTCAACTGTAGATGACACTGACACTTTCATTGACACGAATACTTGCTTTTGAGGAATGAGCGTTCCATTTTGAGCAAGTGACACGCTTTTGCAGGTTATCAACTAGGTTTTGCAGTTTGTAATAATTGTTTTGAGAAATGCATTAACTGTTGTGCAAATGTAGTGTTGTGAGAAATGCACCAAAGCCACTGAGAAAAACTGTAAATAACAAAAAAATACCATGTAAATATAATAATAGCTTTAAAATGGATGCTTTTTTCATATACATTTTTTCACAAATTGTTCTACAAATTGATTGACTAACTCTGAATTATTTTACTAAATTAGTGTGCAAAAATTATTTGTACTTATCTTTGAAATATTATAAGTAACGCTAGCATTATTTTGTAACAACAAAAATATGTAATAATAAATACTTGAAATTAAGTAATAACATTTAATACTTTAAATCATTCTTCGTATCTTACATTCCATTTCCAGCACATTTACATTTTCATCAATAATTCTGAAGCTATAGATAGATAGATAGATAGATAGATAGATAGATAGACAGACAGACAGACAGACAGACAGACAGACAGACAGACAGACAGACAGACAGACAGACAGACAGACAGACAGACAGACAGACAGACAGACAGACAGACAGACAGACAGACAGATAGATAGATAGATAGATAGATAGATAGATAGATAGATAGATAGATAGATAGATAGACAGGCAGGCAGACAGACAGACAGACAGATAGATAGATGGACAAATAGAGAGATAGACAGATAGATAGATTTGGAGTAGCTATAGGGGGATGAGGTGTGAAGTCTCCCTTCCCCCGCAACAGAATGATTTTATACACCGTTTACAATCTGTTGAGTTAAAAGTATAAGATTAGACTTTTTGTGACACCACACACAAAACACAAAATATTAAACAGCGGATGCTAATGAGATGCAGGCATTTAAATACTGATAGTTAATAAATGCACATATATTACCCAGATCATTTACAATCCCACTTGTATCCTAAAGCCAAACGTCTGGCATTCGGATCATCAGGCTGAGCGGAGACTGCAGGGCACCATTACACACAACTGACATTAGAAACAAGTCTAATACCTGCTACGCTTCATTTTATGAGCAGATTAGACATGGTAATGTCGATTAGCATTTCAATGGATGGGATGACACGGGCTATTGTGTTTACACAAGGGATTTCTGGAGGTTTACTGTAAAACATAAAAACCATCAGTATCTTACTGTGTAGACACTTCGGCTTACTTATAGCAAGTCACACACACCCACATACACACAGAGACTCACATTCCAGATATCAAATGCTTTTAAATTTGATCCCACTAATAAAATATAAACCAAATTAAATGATAAATGAAGGCTATGACCTATAATCAGCTTGTATGTTCCAGAATAGCCACAATAAATCTAATAAAATTAGAGCCTTATGCTTGGATGACAAGCACACAATGTCATGCATGCACCATGGTTCAAAACAAAGCAGAAGGTGATAATTGATTATACAGCAGGATTTCCTTCCAGGGTAATAATTGTTCCAGAATTAAACAACGTTATATGAACAAGTGACAAAATACCTTATTGTTTAAAAATAAAGGTTACAGAAAAAGGGGGTTTAGTAATGCCATAGAATTGTTATTTTTTTGCCCAAAGCATGATGCAGTTCTTAACAGAATAAATTATTACTTGAAGTAATGAAGATTTGAATAATTAAGGAATCCTTTCCAGCTTTTGTGGTGTTGGAACTGTACCATGGATGAAAGCTCTTGATGAAACCATCAATGCCATTAAAGAATGTTTATTTTTAAAACGGATGCCATTTTAATTTACTATTGGGAAAACTGGCAGCCAGGAGCAATTTGGAAGATAATTTGAAGATCCTGACAACACTAAATTTCACAAAGGAATATTTTTAGTGATTGATGTCCTCTAAACTCAAATTAAGTTTATTCATACAAATTCACTTAACTGATAAAATATTTTGTTAACACTTTAAAATAAAGTGCCTTGTGTTGTTATTATTAACTAAATTAAAATAATCAAAATGAGAAATGCAATTAAATTAAAAAATTCCAACAAATGTAAATGATATCAACAATTAGTCAATGTAATGTAATCAAATTGAGTCAACATGAAAAAATCAATCTGAATATCATGAATACCATGACATGATTAATAAAAATTAATAATGACAAAAATCAATAAATACTGTAACAAATATATTGCTTGTTGATAGTTAATGTTTGGTAAAGTATTAAAGTAAAGGTAAAGGTAAAGAGCTACCATGTCAAAAAAAAAAAAAATAGAATTGTCCCTTTTCCCTTTAAAGTCAGGTTTTTGGAAGACTGTTTTATATGATGTTGATTAATATCTAATTTATTTTGCCTATCTATTAGCCTACTTGCTATGCTTGTGCTTTGACACATTATAATTTTGTTTTAGTAATAGGCTTGTCTGGCCGTTAGATAACTCCAGCACAGCACAAGTTAAGAAAAGAAAACCTTGAGGAAAAGCTTTAGTGACAGCAACATCTCTAGACTGTAAAGACAGCTTACCGCTATGACTACGGTGTCTTCTCCTTTGAATTTCGGTATGTATTTGTCACCTCTGTTGATTTCCGACTCGTTAAGTGGCCTGAATCGGCACATCACCTTAACACAACATTCAGCCGCGTCCACCATCGTGTATGATCCTGGTTTGATCCGAATAAAGTTCTTCTCAGGTCAGCAGACGTGGTCTGCAGAGGAATGCATCAATCAAACAATCAAAATGTCTGGATGCTGCCAGCCGTTCAGCCCGTGCGCTCCATTCCCATTGGCTGGGCGAATAAAGGTATGAAACTGAAATCAAAATTAAAAATACAACTCCCGGACACTGTTTCAAATAGCACGAAACCTAGACAATGGCTTGTAAATGCGTGTAACATTTGTGTCGTTGACTTAGGAGCTTTAGCCAAGCGCACATTGATCTTCCGAAGAGCATCAGCACCGGTCAGTTCCTCCTCCTGCGGCTCCACGCGCTCTCCCCTGACTGAGGACCTGCGGTGAGGAAGGGAAGGATGATGATGATGGTGATGACGGGCCGCTCCTTCCACACGCGCTTCTGCTGCCCAACAGCGCCTCTCAGCAGAGCTGCTCAAGACTGCAACAGTAGGTCAATAAAGATCTCAGTAAAAAAACATCAGTGTTAATCCATTTCTATGAATATTTTAAATAGTATTCTCACAAAGGTGACATGGAGCTTTACAGAGCATAAACATGCAGCAATACATCTGACCAAAGCAAGCACCCATATATCCACAGTAAAAAACATCATATCCAAAGTCCATATAGGCTAATGCCTGGAAACAAATTATCAAAACATGCAATTTTGCTTTTATAAAAGTTTCTCTTTTTTCAAGTGCATGGCGAGTTATTCATTTTTGTGATCTATCTAACTTTCTATACTCTGTAAAACCCTAAAAGTTAAGGTAACTATTACCGTTTGAGGAAACTGATTGCAACAAACCATTTAAGATCAAAAACTAATCCTAATGAGTACTGTGAACTTAATCCATTTGAGTAAATGAAGCAATTTGAGCACAGTAAAACATGATAAATAAAAGTAACTAAAAACAAATGAGTACTGTAAAACCCAATAAGTTAAGGCTACATGAACCATTTGAGGAAACCGATGGTAACAAACCATTTGAGTTAAAGAACTTATTTATATGAGTACAGTGAACTTACTTAATTTAAGTTAAAGCAATGAGGTATCTAATTAACTCATTACCTTCAACATGGAGTTCAAAACTCTTTTCAAATGAGTAGAATTAACTTTCAGTCAATTTTGAGTTAACCACACACATTTAATTTGATAAAGTTGACTGTTGGGTTTTACAGTGAATCATACTATTTGAGGAATTAAAGCAATGAATCAGAATCTGACTCCACTCACGAATTACATCAAAATAGCTAAAAAAATGTTTAATTGATTTATTTTATCATTAAACATTGAATTTTTTTATTAATACATAATGACATTTTGAGCAATTAAATATGGGCAGTGCTGACATTTTGACACATTTCAAGTTAGCGAATATGCGTCAAATGTGGCATCTGAACATATATAGGGTATTACATCAGACAAACTATTTTTGGTACAACCACACATTAAAAAAACATAATAAATTTGCTTGACATTTAAGGTAAATTGTTGCAAACTATTTATATAGGCTGAATTTAAATAAACAAATCAAATTGAACATTAAAAATTTGATTTGCTTGTTTAAATTTATTCCATATAAATTGTTTGCAACCTTACCTTGCCTTAAAAAAAAACTGTAACTCAATTTAATCTTTTTTTTTTAAGTGCAGAGAAAATCTTCTAGAGTAACCACTAGAGGCCGTAGTGCTCTGTGTGATTGTTCAACTTTTGTTTTCTGATTGATAATGTTTAACACACACAAAATGCTAAATCTATTATTATTGCTACTAAATCTAAAATTGTATGGCGTTCCTGTAAGCAGTGTGAAAGGTATAGCAAAGATTCAATTAGATGTAGATCCATTAAAATGATCATCATAGTATATGTTACTGTAATGCAGAAGAACTAAATGTAATTCTGCCTTTGAAGGCCATTGGTTCCAGTGAAGGTCAATCAATGCAACTGTATCTCCCACAATAAGACTCCCAGGACAGCTTCAGTTCAACGGAAATGCAAAGAGGCTGCAAGAGACAACTTATGCTGGGAGGTTTGTGTGTAGGTGTAGTTATAAAAAAAACTGTAAAAGTTTGCTGATCTTGTCTGGTTAAAGCTGCAAATAGATGGTCTCACAGCCCTTTTTTTTTCGCTGAGAATGGCAGATAATAAATACCTTTTACATTTTCTTTTATTTAGTAATATGCTTATTATTGTGCTAATCTTTTAGGTAAGTACGGAAAACTTAAAAAAGCATATAAAAACCAAAACTTTGGGTAATACTAGTAATAAATATATTCATAACAACCAAATGCAACTGCACACATCTACATTACTGCACACTTCCCCTTTGAAACCAAAACAAAGGTCTCACGGTGAGTTCATTGTTTTCATGCCAAAGCTGTGTCTCCTTGGCAACAGGCTGTAAACTCAAAGCTGCTTCAGGCAGAGACGCAATGAAAACAAAGGACTGACCCTCAAAACACAAGGACATAAACACAGAAGCTATTGAACTTCATTTAAATCATACATTTCAATCCAGAGAAGCAACAAACTGCTGGCACAGGTGAGTCTCACTGATTGTATTTTTCGCAGGTGACTATGGACATTTCATGGTTTCATGAATTTTATAACAATTAATTTTTCTTGACTGAGCAGTTAAAATGGTGGGGAAGTTCTTTGATCATTTATGCATTATGACTATTGTCTTGTAAAGAGCTGTAGTTTTCATTCTTTTAAAAAGTCTAATTTCACATAGTTTCTTTGTTAGTGAATCGAAAGGGGAAAAAAAAGTGTTAAACGAACAAGCCAAGCAAGAAGAAAATGTAAATTACAATTAAGCATGCCAGAAAATACTTCAAATGTCTTCACACTTTAATAAGTACAAAGATTATGCACAAATGCATCACTGTCATCACACATGTGGGTAGCAGATCTGCTTTCACATGCATTACATGTTTCAAATACAGAGAAATGTACTTATTACAGCAATTTTTCTGTGTTTGTGCGTCTGCCAGAACACCGGAGCATGAGTAAACATGAAGAAGGCAGATTAGTGGAGCAGCTCTTGAAGGAAGAGCTTGAGGATGTGGCTCTGGAGCTGGAGCAGGGAGTCTATGGCTGGGAAGACATTGACCTGCCTCATGATTCACAGGGCTCCACTCCTCTTATTAGTGCCTGCAGCAGGGGCCTTACTAGGGTATGAGACATTATGGTGATATGATCACAACAAGAAACTATATCTGACTTCTGTGTATAAAGCTAATGCAGTGCAATGGGCTGTAATGTATTGATTGTAATAGCATGGAGCATTATATTTCCGTTAGTCATGGCCTTCTACTGGTTGATTTATTGCAGTATTGCGCATTAATTAAACAGTTGTGCTAGCATACAGTGCAACTAAAGAGTTCAGATAGTTGTCCTATCCACTCTATACCAGAAATACCCCACAAAACGTCTTGTTTTGGGCACTATCACCATTAATTCCAGCTGACAGCCCACCCCTTGAAAGGTTTAATTAATTTTAAGTTCAATAATCAACGCTTTTCGACCTGTCAGTGCTTTTAATGTTGTGCATGATCATTGTATACTCAGCACCAGCCCCTCTGCGAGGTTTTACCCCAAATGTTTTTTTTTTTTTGTCCCACTAGAAGGTTCCGTGCATGGCAGCTGAATTTGCATGTTTACTGGTCTATTTTAGAAGAGTCATAATTTCAGAAACAACCCAAATGTTAGTTAATTCATTATATGTAGTATATACACTCTCAGAAAAAAGGTACATGGTGGCACAAATAACGGACTATGCGCGTGAGCTGACAAAAGTCGTGCATATGCAAACTGTTCATGCAGACATTTTAGTATTGTGAAACTAATCAAACATTGTGCATATCTCGTTACAATACTTTTGCATAATTTTATTTCTATTTTAACATTAAGTAAAATAAATGAACTTTTAAGTGAATACAAAGGGATTGTTAGACATTTGGAGAAAAAAAAAGTTTATTGTTGTACATGAGAGAATGTTGGGGCGAGGCAGTGGCGCAGTAGGTAGTGCTGACGCCTCACAGCAAGAAGGTCGCTGGTTCGAACCTCAGCTCAGTTGGTGTTTCTGTGTGGAGTTTGCATGTTCTCCCTGCCTTCGCGTGGGTTTCCTCCAGGTGCTCTGGTTTCCCCCACAGTCCAAAGACATGTGGTACAGGTGAATTGGGTAAGCTAAATTGTCCGTAGTGTATGTGTGTGTGGATGTTTCCCAGAGATGGGCTGAGGAGGTAGGAAGGGCATCCGCTCCGTAAAAACTTGCTGGATAAGTTGGCGGTTCATTTGGCTGTGGCGACCCCGGATAAATAAAGGGACTAAGCAAAAATAGACTGACTTATGTTAAAGTATTTTTGTATTCTTTATTGTAAATGGAAAAGGTGAAATATATATATATATATATATATATATATATATATATATATATATATATATATATATATATATTTAAATAATTGTTTAAAAATGTATTTGATGCTTTATATTTTTCTGAAAATTGACACCACATTTTGGATAAGGCAAAATGCCTTTAAATAGTTCTTGAAGGAACACATTTGACACTGTTACGGTACAAAGTGTCTTGTCACTGTAGTGGTACCTTCATGGATCAGATCCTTTTACAAAGGCACACTATTGTTTCTGCAGGTTTTAAAAACAAAAGATACATTTTGGTTTCCCATGGTACAAATCATGTCCTTAAAGGCACAAACTGCAATGGTAACAACATTGTACCATTTTTTTTTGAAAGTGTAGTTCACTCATTCACACAACAGCACTTGCACAGAACCACAAGCTGCCAACATTGCCTAAAATGCAGGCTACTTAAAATTAAAAGTTCACTTAGAGGGATATTAGTCTTAAAATCATCAAACAGCATCAACCTATTTAACTGGTTCAATATTTTAAAACTATTCTTCAGATATACTGCTGACACTTTTAACAAATATTTCAAACACAGGTTATGCATTTCCTTCTGGAGAGAGGAGCTGATGCTACACTGTGTAACAATAGCAACCAGACAGCTCTTCATGTCTGTCGACCATCACTTCAGGAGGAACTGTTGATGACCATGACCAGACCTGACCAGAGACAGCTCTCATTAGCAGCCTGGAGGGGAGACCTCTGCTGTCTACAGGACCTGATGGTGATCAGTTCAGACCTCAACTTCCACTTTGACTGTTAGAAATGTGATATCAACCTTAGGTTCAGACAAAGCAGGCCAGACTCCATAGGGAGTTTTGTGATGGATCCGTATTGGCCATCTGTCAGGAGATAGCAAGATATTTTTACTCACCTCAAGCAAAGAGAATTACATCCAATTAGATTGTATTTTATGTTATAGGGCCAGACAGATATGCATGACTTAAATAAACAGAATAGAGACGGACTGACCCCACTGATGCTGGCTGTAAGAGATGTGGATCTGTTTGAAGGTCTGGCGCTGCCTTGGGACTATCAACCTGTGGAAGTGGTGAAGAAACTTATGTCTCTTACAGCGTAAGAAAACTTATTTTATTTGGTCAATTTCATTTATTGATTTTAACAGAAATGTAAAATATAAATTACTAATACTGTCCTCTGCATAATTGAGTTCACAGCCCATTTTGAAAATGAATATTTTTATTTCTCAGTGAATATAGGCAATATATTTTGATGCATTTAAAATATTTATTAAACAGATATATTTATTAAAATAATATTGTAGTCACCAAACATTATTAGAAATTTTAAAATAATACAATTAAATTCAAGCAAAACATTTCAAAAATAAATTACAACCTATAAATTTCAACAATAATGTTCAATTATTTTTCTTCTCTTGATTTTTCCTCTTTTTTAAAATTCGTATATTTAATATTTTTCTATAACATAAATTTGGGTGTACTAGTTTTTGGAGCGTTATCGCAAGTTATTTTGTTAGATAAGCTCCAGATTTGGCTTCAGTACTGACTAATCTAAGGTATATGGACAAATATAATATTGTACAGATTCCTATTGAACATATGAATTTAAAAGATAGATTTGTGAGGGGTGTTCTTATATATGCTGAGCACTGTATAAATGTAAGGTAACTTGAAGATAAGTAAAACAGCATAAGAGTGTTCACATAAGTTTTTGATGCATTTCAAACTACAATGGATAAAACTACATCTATGAAAGGAAAAGAAGATGTGCTTGTGCATTCTGTTTTGTCTGAATTCATGTCCTGTTTTGGTTTGTTTAGATGTCTTTGGTCTATGTCGTCTCTTTTGTGAGTCTAATCAGTCAATAGTATACTTAAAAGTGTTCACATTTATTCAAATGAACCAAATTAACAAAGCAGTCACATTATAATTTTTGATCAGTCCAAATCTGCCCAACTCCAACTCTTTGTGACCCACCAGTCACTGTTCTGCATATTATATATGACTCTCTCATCTCAAACATTTAGCTCATTTCAAATCAGGCAGGTTAAACTGTAGGGCTGGAGCTGAGATCAACAGAACAGTCATAACAACAACAACAACAAAAAAACTCATCTACTTGCTCTGCTTTCCAGTGACATGAAGATCCTTGATCAAAATGGTCACACTGCTCTGTGGTACATTTCTCATCTCAAGAGCACCAAGCGAGAGGAACTCTTCGCTATATTAGATTCCTCAATGCAAACAGGTAAAATACTGCGCATTTTAAAGTTTTATCATCATAAGTTGTGTATTAGATTTTATCTTATTGCAATTAAGTCTTTTCAGAAAATGAACCTCTATTTTCAGTACCATTTATTAGAAAGCAATCCCACATAGCTAAATATCTCTGGCCCACACACTCAATTTTTACTTGGTCCACATGCAGCAGTGAATTACGGTACATGACTGGACCAAGTCTGGCTTCCAGACAAGGGCCAAACACGGACCGTATCTGGGCGAAGTCTCAGCCAAGTTAATAACCCATAACTGAGCCTGAACTGGGCCAGATATGTTGGTGTGACACGACTGCAATGAAACTAATAAACCCACGAATCATTGCGCTTTAAGCATTGTATTCATTCTAAGCGACGTGATTGGTAGAATTAGTTTTTCTTTATTTGAAAATAATAAAAATTTATTTTAAAAGTGGGTCAAGATAGGCAAACCTTACATGGCCCACATATAAATGATTAACATCTGGCTCAAGTATTGTGTGCCGCCTTAAAGACGGTGCGCCTCAGCCAAACCAGGACCATATTTGGCCCACATGCTGTATGCAAGTGATGAATCCCTGCTGTGCAAGATTGATGCCAAATCTGGGCCAGAATTCTTTGCTACCTGGGATTGTTACATGAATATGCTCACTCATGCAAGAATATGAATTGTGTATTTGAGAAAAAATATTCATGTGTCTGGATGTGTCTTATTGTCCTGCTGTACCACACCGCTATTCTCCTATACACCTGGCTGTCGCACACCAGTTTCAGATGTTATGAAGGTCAGTGGCTTCAACACGTTTTACTCAATAATGCCGTAAATCTTGGCAGTGTTTCCCACAAGAATCCATTTAAACAGAAGTAGACACTCAGCCATAAAGATGGCATAAACTGCTTAATTTATTAAGCCTTAGTGGTATTGTAAAGGCAAAGTCAGTTAAATAGAGTTAGTTTTAATTATGCCTGTTATAATGGTGTTCCATTTGGCTGAGCCTTGGTCACAGGCATCGCAGCTGGCTAATGATTGTGTGAGTTGACTGAATAGACAACCTCCAGATGGTCAGCAGCCAACAGGTGAATTTGTAGTGTGATTCTGTGAGAGGTTATTGTATGGGACAGTCAACCTCACTGCTTTTAAGCAGGTTTGGTTCTTGCTGCATCACAGCTGTGTCATTACGTTTTTCAGTAGCTGAAATGTATTTTATTTTCTGCAGAGAGAGTCAGCTGATATTACTATTGCAGAAATGAGCCACACAGACATCTGTGAAGGTGAGTCAACTAGACTTTGTTGATACTAAAAGGACAGGACACATAATGTCAAAGTTATAGCTGTAGAATTAATGTTTTGCAGCAGTGAGAAAATAATGTTGCTGCTCTCTGCATCCTTAGTTTTGTTGTCTACATTTGTACTCAAATGTAAATTGCACAAACTTATAATAAAATTAGATCAAATAAATAGAAAAGGCCCATATGTAAACCAGCTCATAGAGCCTTCCTCAAAGAAATTAGGAAATCGGTTTAACCTCCTAAGCTGTGTACTGGGTCCCAGATCCGTCCGTTACTCCCGAATTCTTTAAATATTAAGGTCCATACTGGCCCAATACTCCCATAAGTGGTTCGGTTCTCTCTTTAGTTGTAAAAGAATAACTTTTGCATAGATTATGATAGAGACAATTTTCTTTTTTCTAATTACTGACATGTGGAGGAACTACCAAAGTTAATTACAGCAACCTAGACCACACAGAACCTAAAGGTACACTTAAAAAAAGTGCCTCTTTTTGGAGGTGTTTTTATAACACAGACAACATATTAAAATTTTTAAATCACTTTCAACCTTGTTTTATGAAAATTATAATGGTTTTCTTTAAAATGATACCAAATGATACCATTTTGCATTTACACCTCTGCATGTGGATTTGGGGAGGCTTTTGAATTTAGGTAGTCAAAATCCGAGCGGAAACCCCAAAATAAAAACTTTAAAACCCACTTTAAAACAAATTAAAATGGCCTTCTTCAATATGGCAACTTATCAGCCAAGACATATATTAATAACACATGCAAATAGGCTTCTGAAACAGACACCGACAGACAAACACAGGTCTCTCAGCCCATCCCTCAGAGAACCCATGACAATAAGAGGGGTGTGTCTGACTCGGCTTTTTGGGCTCCTCTGTTTCAAACAACTCAGTCTACAGAGTCACCAGTCACTCGCAGATAAGGATTACGCAAGACTCAGAAGAACTGTAAAACATTTGCTTTTATTGAGACTTCGGTTAACTTAGGGAGGACTGACTTTGTCAAAGGTACTTTTAGTATATTCTTTATTTAGTCAAGATTAAAAACATGTTTTGTAAAAGTTTTTTCATGCTCAGCAATTGATTTGATAAATTAAAAAAAGACTAAAAATATCATTTAAAACCACTGTTTCTTTTAATTTGATCTCTCTTGATTACATTTTAACTTGTGTAGCTTGTTCCTGAGATGGCAAAGCTAAATCCAATCTTTTTCAAAGACCAAATGCTACTAAATTGTATTAATCCATAATTGTATAAGCAAAGATTTTGAGTCTACAATTTGAATACATTTTTAATGATCGCAGTATAAAGTATGTACTTGAGCGATAATACATCGATGTGAGCTGTTATACCTCTTATGTATGGAAGAAATTATAAATGACCCTTGTTTCAATGTATTTGCTGATGTCTCTGCAGATAACAGGATCTGCTTGGACGATTATATGGAGCCAAAGATAGACATCAGACAAGATGGCAAAGACGAGAGGAAACGAAGCAGGTTAGGCAGCTGACCACATGCACACTCGTTCATCCCTTTTCCATCAAACTAAATTAGTATTGAGATAAACAGAGCCAATCAGAACAGATCACACATAAACACCACCAACAGCAGCAGCTGTGTAAACAGAAAATGCATAAACAAGCTGCCCTCACAACAACCTGCCTGCATGAAAACCCGTGCCCATTCAGTGGCTACCTCTCATTTCAACACAAAGACTGTACAGAGGAGTACGGTTACAGGATCAAGCCGTTGTCAACATAAGACTGTGCTTCCAAGCTGTATCATTATCCACAGAGAGTGAGGGAGAGGAGAACTTGTCTAAAAGGACATTTAGCTTAGCCCTTCTTTCTTAGAAACATTTCAAAATACACAGCCCATTTATATATGCTCTAAATAATATAACCTTTAATAATAAACATGCTATTTTTCTCACTCAGTCGGACTTCATCTTTACCCAGCCTATGGAATGGCAGAAAGGACTGGGGTAAAACTAGGCACCTGCATCCATTGCTTGCCTTGAGTTCCTCCTCAATCCCAGCTCTCCCTGCTGCTCCTGTTAACCAGCTCAGTAAGTCTGCACCGATCCTGATGAACCCTCTTCTCCACGCAAATGGGCTGCTGCAGGCACGGGCTAACATTCAGAACAGTAAGTACAATCAAACAATTATTCAAATGCAAGAATTCTGTTGTGTTTACAAATTACACATACTGACTATTAGTTCCACATAGAAAGACACAAGGTATATATTGTGGTTAGACAGATACATACACAAATCAGCTGAAATGTAACTGGGTCCATTAGTCAAGATTTATCCATATCCACATAAGAAATATACAGATTCCAACCCATCCCAAAACATGCTTCTAATTTGTCACATCAGAGTGCCACTTCTTTTGAAAGTCTGTTACTGTTAGCATTAATAGACCAAACAATCAGCATTTGATGGCTTGCTAGATGCCTAATCATTGATGAAATCTGGTAATTGCCTGTTAGTGTAGTGTGAACTAACCTAGGAAGTGGCTTGTGTCAGATAAGCAAGTTACACATCAGTGGTTCCCAAACAAGTTCTTGGAGATCCTAACAACACTGTATATGTCGCATGCCTCCTTGTTCAAGCACACATGACTGAAATCAGCAGCTCAATAATAGTAGACTTCAAGACCTGAGCTGCATCCAAACAAATTAGGGACAGAGTAGGGAAAGAGAGGCAGAAAGACAGAAAGGCACATCCAGATCCAACAAAAATGTACAAATTTTCCAAGGTAGCACAAATGTTTTGTAGTAATTAAAATAATTTGATTGGTTATCAGCAAAGCTCGCTTCATGAAATCAATTTTGTGTATGTGCCTTCATATAGAAATGCTGTCTGAAAAATCATTTCTTGATATAAGGACAATTCAACAAGTCATCTTTATTGCTGTAGCACATTTACTATGTATCAAAACAGCTTAATATATATTTCAAGAGTTCACACTTAGTTGATGATTAATTATAAGTTACTTTGGCATGCTGTCCCAGGAGAGAGCCCTGAGCTCATAAGATCCTCGAGCCCGGGGCTCCCTTCCGTTGCAAGGTGAGAGTGGAGTTTGAGCTTAGGTATATCTCGAGAATTCCCCTGCTGTAGTAACTAATGAACAGATAGCGATTTCTCTTAAGAGATAACTACTTACTAGTACGGTTGTAACAATATACCGGTATGACGGTCTACCACGATTTGATTAAGGGTTTTAACCCTTAAAGACCGAGACAGCTGCCCGCGGCTAAAAATAAGTATTGCTCTTAAATGTTTAATAGCTTTTGATCCGCTGATCCGATTCATACAATTCAAAGATTGGCATAAAGATTTTGATAGCTGTATCACATAACATTCGCGGACTTTCAGAGGCTCCGGAATCAGTGCGATTACGTCATCAAAATTTGACAACGCTGATTTGACAAAGAAACGCTCGTCACTGTGTCTCCGGACAAACCAGACATGATACATTGATGCATTGTCCCTCCTCCATGCCCAGATTGGTTCAAACTCGCTATATCACAACCAATAAGCATAGGTTTCACTTTTGTTTGTGGACCAACATGAGCTTTTTGAACAACACGGAATGAGAGATAAAATGAATAAAACGCAAAAAAAAAAAAAAGTTTTGCATGAAATAATTCTCATACTAAGTACTTTTGTATGCACAGCAGCACAGAAACATGACAAAACAGTGACACAGCAAAGACGAACTGCTGCTCTTGCTGTTTTCAAAAGACGCAAATGAAGGTGCAGCTAAAATCCATATCCACAGACAACCATATCCATGCTGGCACATAAAACCTAAAGATGTTCCATATTGAATCTAATTTTGTTATGTAACTATTTATAGTATAGTAAATATTTATATCTATTTTTTACTGAGGATTTGCACCATGTTTATTTGGACTTTGACACATTATTTATTATTTTCTTATTTTTTTATTTGTTCATTGTACAAGTGGACACATTCTCTCAGCTCATCGGTCAAGATTAAGTCCTGAAAATCTCAACATGCTTACATTTCTTCATCACAACCTAGACTGAAAAAAACAACGCTTTAAATACATGTTTACAGCCATAAACTTGGTATTGCACTTTTGGTCTCCCATTTATCCTGCTTATAAGGAAGGACAGTTTAAGTTTATTTTTGTCTAATCTTAAAAGACCTTGCTTGTTTATTCCTTCTAATTTAATTTATTAAAATGGGAGATTTTTCAGTTTATTTTTATGAAAGACTTCTATAGTTCTATTAAAATGGTTCTTTCAAAAGTTTGTTGAAATAAAACCTTTGTTCAGTCAGAAAACGTGTTCTTATTCTTTTCAGGGTCTTTGCTATGAGAATTACTATTTAATACCGTATACCGCGAAACCGTGGTATTGTTTTAGACGATTATCATACCGTAAAAAATTCATACCGTTACAACCCTACTTACTAGGAGCATGTCTATGGTGCCGATTTGGATTACTCAATTAACTTAAGTTGCTATCCAGCCGATAGCAATCATAAGCACGTGATCCTCTCAAAATTAGTTTATAAATAAACTTCACAAAGTGAATAAAATGTCACAATGTTTCAGATTATGAAACAGTCTAGCAGATGAGGCTTGGGGTAGAGTTGTGGTAGAATGCTGGTGCATTTATAATTCAATTAACACTGATTCAGTTAAGTCTATTGCATATGTCACCACAGAAGAACAGGTCCATTAACACCAAGCAAGCCAGAGCTGACAGTCGCAAACCCTGAAATGGGTCTGTCAAATTAGACATGATACATGTGCAGTGTTGGGGGTACTGGAGGAGCTTGTGGCTGAGTCTGAGCTACAGCTACAGATCATAGACCAAGTAGAGGTGCAAAAGTGACCCAAGTTTGTCCCAAGATTACCTTGTCTCTGAAAAATCTCCTCTATCTTGCTGATGAGACAGGTGAAATTCCAAAGAACATTTAGCAGGTAGCACAAACAGATAGATTAACTGTATATCAGATGAACAAGAAGAGAAGTACTGCTGGTGTTAGTCATTCATGTAGCAAAGTATATTATTTATTGTACTAAACTATAAATACAATGTATTATAAGATTGAGGAATTCAATATTTTTTATGTAGGCGAACATGGAAAAAGTAAAACTAGACATTTATAATGATATACATTTAACTAATAGTAAAATTTTTATTTTGTCACATGTATATATTGTATGCATATTTAATCTAATTGGAAATCATAGTTCATTCTGGTATTTTTCTGCATACACTTTCACAGTAGGGTTTTATGGACTGAAATATACTTGCCACAGTTTTTTTTTTTTTTTAACCAAACTACATGTATATATATATGTATATATATATATATATATATATATATATATATATATATATATATATATATATATATATTCTGCCGATGCAGTTACTGCAAGGTAGGTGACATGCTGCTTTTTTGAAAACGACTTTTTAAATGTCTTGGAAGAGTCTACTCTAAGGGTTGCACAAGGTATTAGTTGTGAAATGATATATATATATATATATATATATATATATATATATATATATATGTATATATAAAAATATATGAAAGTATGCAATTTTAGATAAAGCCCAAAATTTTTATAATGAAAAAAATGAGATCTGTCATTACACAATTAATACCTTGTGCAACCTTTAGAGTAGACCCTTCCAAGACATTTAAAAAGTGGTTTCCAAAAAGCAGCATGTCACCTACCTTGCAGTAACTGCATCGGCAGAATGATATACAGTTTTCGTGCTTAGTTAAAAGTGATAAAGGTGACTCTTCCTTGAATTTTTAGAGTCTGTGTATGATTTTAAAGGAATAAGTATGTTTTTGATAAGCCAGTCAGGAAGATAAAACTTTTCAATTCACTACAGGGCTAAGAGGTGTTGAAACTGGGGAAGATGAAAAGCAAAAGGTGAGGATTTGTTTATTTATTTGTTTAACATTTCAATGAGACCAAACAGGATTGCTCTTAATATTACTTTGTGCTGTGATTGCCAGATACCGCAAACTCCATGTTCTAGGACACCTAACCATATTGCTCCACTGGACAGCAGATATACGGACAACTCTGCTCTGTCAAGTTTTGAGCACCCACTGCTCTTTAAACAAACTAGCATTTTGCCTGTTTTATCACAGTCCAGGCGAAGACTAGAAAAAATCTCCAGGCAGTCTTCCAGAAGATCCAGAGCAGGCAGTGAAGAAAGCAACTCCTGCAGCAGTAGCAGCCAAGAAGAGGATGAGGCTGTGCCTCAAATTACACAGAGGCGGCATGTAAGCTTGGGGAAGTCAATGAGTTTTAAATTAGGAAACTGTTTGGATTTTCAGGATTTAGTCAGTTCTGTAATTAACATTAGCATTTCAGACAAAATGAAAGGCTGTATTAAACCACCCATTGCTACAGAGTTTGAAGATAAAATGAAATGCAAGCCTTCCAAAGCACCTGAAAAAGACCTTCAGGAAAAGTCTCCACCTATGGACTGTTGCCATGTGTCTGAAGCACCCAGAAACATAGTCAGAGAATTACAACCTACAGCAAAAAGATGCCATTTTCTTGCAGGTGAGAAAAATATAGCTAATCTTGATATGGACACGGAAGAAAAATACACTCATGAAAAGAACAAACCAGTTAAGATGATAAAGAGAAGTGAAAGAAAAGGCAAAACATCGATTCAGACAAATCAGTCATTCAATGTGCTTGCACACAGAAATCAAAGTACTGGGAAAATCTCATCCAATAGAATAAATTCACCAACTCAGTCAAAAGTGCAACTTAGAGGAAATAAACCGACAAGCCTTGCTATAGGAGAAACTACAAACAAATATGTAACTTGTAAAAAAAATGCAGATGAAGGCCCCACACCAAGAAGAGTCTCTGAACCTTTTCAGCATGTGGTGTCAAATGATCAAAAACAACTTCACAGAGATCTTAAAAGTGCAAGAGCCCCCAAAAAGCCAGTAACAGGACCAGCACAGCGAGCAAGATCTGCTGTGGATTATGCCACTTACAATGATATGTTTCTGAAGATAGGTCAGGGAGATGAAGGTCCAGCAATCTACGAAATGTTTGCAACTCCACTCTATGAAAATCTTAGAGCAGACAGCTCTGCAGAGAGAAAAAGACAGATCCATACACCACTTCAAGTTAAAAGACAGATCAGTGGGAAACTGAAAGGCCAAAAAACGGTGGATGTAAACAGAAGAAAAAAAACATCAGAGAGATCCAGTCGAGTTAAATGCAGGCAACTCAAACACAGAGACAATCTTAACAAAGCGACTAAGAAACACCTACCTCCTTCAGAGTGTAAATGCCATGTCCTCGTAACCTCTGCTTCTGAAACTAGCCAGCGGAAGAAATTTGAAAGGCCTGAGGGCGAAGGAAAGGACATTTCAAGTGTAGAAAGGCAATGTACTTCCATACTGTCAGTGATTGAAGAAGTACTTTCCAACACGGCATCCAAAGCAAATCTCATAAAGAACATAATACATCAAGAACAGACTCCACTGAAGGCAAATGCCAACAGGGAGCCAGAAGTATTGTGTGTGACCAGATTACCAGCACAGCCATTGATTAATACCTGGACAAGTGATGGAACGGCATCACCTGTGTACCAAAGGTTTCTAGAGGGAGTCGGTGATGGACCTCTCACTGATGATTTGCTGCGATCTTTGGCAGAGGAACTGCTCTTACTTGAGAGAAGAGATATTGAAACTCTGAAAACCGAAAACGAAGATGGCACCGAGTTTAATCGTGACTTGCATTCAAAATTCAAGATTCTTCAGAATGAGGTAATATTTCCCTTGTACATGGTGTCAGATTAGTCAACCCTGCTTTGGGAGACCTACCTTTTTGCAGACTTCAGCTCGAATGCTTCAATACACCTGCCTGCTGATATTTCAAATAACCCTTAACACTTTTATGAGCTTGTTTAATTGTGGTTGGAGTCTACAGTTTGGTGGCTCTCTAATAGCAAGGTCGACAACTCCTGCCTGAAGTTGGTCTTTTATTTTACATTTAGCACTTGTTGTCCACCAGGGTGTTTCATCAGGCAAACTACATTACACTTTTGGATCTTGCTCAGGTGATGCCATCACATGGACAAAAGGAGAAGTTTTGGGTAAAGGAGCATATGGAACAGTAAGTTTTCACAAGCAACCATTTGGATTTTTTTTTTGGATTTTTCAACAATTATTTACGTTGTCCAAGCACAATCAATGGAAAAGTTTCATATAAAAAAATGTATCTAACAGTTTTCTATATCTTTATAGGTGTATTGTGGGTTAACCAGCCAAGGTCAGCTGATTGCAGTAAAACAGGTGGCACTGGATGCTTCAACTTCAGAGATAGCAGAAAAAGAGTATGATCGCCTGGAGAGAGAGGTTGATCTCCTGAAGAACCTTAAACACACCAACATTGTTGGCTTTTTGGGCACAGCTTTATCTGAAAATATTGTAAGCATCTTTATGGAGTATATTCCAGGTGGCTCCATCTCAAATATCTTAGGCCAGTTTGGTCCCTTGCCAGAGAAGGTGTTTGTTCTGTACAGCCAACAGATTCTGGAGGGTGTTGCCTACCTTCACGCCAACAGGGTAATTCATAGAGACCTGAAGGGGAACAACATTATGCTTATGCCCACTGGAGTGGTCAAGCTAATTGACTTTGGTTGTGCTCGACGTCTTAGCTGTCTTCAAACCTCAACTGGAAGTAAGGGCGATCTTTTAAAATCTGTTCATGGTACCCCGTACTGGATGGCACCAGAGGTGATAAATGAGACTGGTCATGGACGAAAATCTGACATCTGGAGCATTGGCTGCACTGTCTTTGAAATGGCCACAGGAAAGCCACCACTCGCACACATGAATAAAATGGCAGCTCTTTATTACATTGGGGCTCGAAGGGGGTTGATGCCTTCTCTGTCTGATGACTTCTCGACAGATGCAAAGGACTTTGTCCAGGCTTGCTTAACCAGGTAATCTGTGGTCCTCAAAAGCTAAATATTTGATCTGGTTCTTTTGTTATTCAAAGGTTTAAACCACTGTAAATAAGTAACCTGTGTTTTCAAGTTTCCAATTATGTTTGTAACAATGGAACAATATTTGTATTTGCAGAGATCAAAGACAGCGACCTTCAGCAGAGGAACTGTTAAGACATCCATTCATTTCTCATCACAGCAAAGCCTGCTATAGGCCAATAAACTAAACTCTTAATTTAACAATTAAAAAGTCAAGCAAAGTCACATTGTGACGCAACATATATTACCATGGACAAGTTTATAATTTATAAAAACACAACAAGTTCTGTAAATAGTAATTTGATAAATGTGCCAATAGGTTTCTTAACACAATAAATGATCACATACACAAAGACTGAGGTTAAGGTAGTGGAAACCATTGAATTTATTTTTAAATCTAAATAAAATTTGGAAAATACCAAAAAACAAAAAAAAAGAAAAATGCCAGAGTTCGCACTTGCCTTAATTCAAATGCAGTTTAGTGATCCAAAGTAAAAACGATGGTTTGTACAATGCTGGCCTCATTTACCTATAGCTTCACACTGAATAGAATCAAAACCAAAAGATCAAAACCATTCATCCTCTTTCAGAAATAATGTTGAGGGCCTGTAAAAGCCCAGATTTCTTTGGGTCAGCACTGTGATAATGGAACTCCCCTTTTACCCACCTATGTTTCTGGTCATTTGACATTGACTTACAGAGTTGCACAAATAGGCTACTGCTTCAAGCCAAGAAATATATAAAATGCACTTCACAGCGAAGGTTGTGTAAACTTCAAAGAACTAGAATTTTTGAGGCACAGCCTTTGGCATCCAGCTTAAGGTCATCTTGAAGGTCAAAAAAAGGTACAAATTGCATGGCCACTGACAACATGCCAGGTAATTGGATTACCACAGGGTGCGGATTGCCGGCTAGTTCACCCCCTCCTGGTAGCAACGTGGAACGCCAGTTCTAGAGCACATCACTGGAAGGCTGTGCTAGAAATGCCAACAACAGATTCTAACACTGAGTCACAAAATCCCCCCAACCCCCATATATTTAAATCCATATATATATATTTATCTATCTATATATATGTTTTGTTTTTTACAAGCAGCTCCAAACCTGAGAAGTTATGGTACAGCTTTTATCATACGAGAATGTATGTACATTTTTATCCACTCTCTGTAAACAATTCTCGTCCCTTTCATTATAAACATGCAGCTCAAATAAAAGGTATAAGATGAAGGGAAAGAAAACAAAGGAACATTCAATAAACTATGGAACTTAAGTCTTGATTCTGCATTTCTCCTACCAACTTTGTTTAACAAATGAGAGAAGCTTCAGTCATTTTCAAGGGTGCTTTCAGTCTTATAAATGTTCACTGTGGCAAAAACCCTCACACATTATACTGTCATCTGTTGAACTATAATGGCCCTGAAATTCATACACCAGCTCACGCGTACGTATATACTGACTGATTATGAGGAAACACTGAGAGAAAAGCAGCAGTTATACAGTGATGGCGAGACTGAACCGAACTGCCAGAAGATCGGGAAGCATTTTTATTTTCTTTCTCTTACCCTTCACATTCTTCTTTTTTTTCTCTTTCTAATAAAGAAATCTATGATTGATTTTTCTTTTAGATTTTTCCTCTTTTTCCTGTCAGTTCAAGAGTTCATTGCTTGGGCACTTAACAGCGAATCAAGCATGACAAAAGTGTCTTTGCAGTCTGTGTGTTGGCCATTAGCTAGGCAGGCATTCTCAGGGCCATGACTCTCCACTGGTTTCCTGTCCAGTTTCACTAGGGTGCTGAGATGTCCGTAGCCCACCTGGTATGTGACAGGGGGAGGGGGGAAGGGTAGGTTAAGTACAGAGTTGTGAGATGACACACACTGCTGAACAGAGGAACAATGAGAGGAACTACCTGCACCACTTTTGGAGCTTTTGTTCTTTTTGGAGTGATGATTGTGGCTGGCTTCGGGGTTCACCCTCTTGCGCGATGAACTGGAAGCTGAGCTTGGTCCATCAGCAACGGAACCAGTTGTGGGCACCTCGAGGCTGCTCCTGCCATTGCCACTATGCGTGTGTGTGTGCGAATGGCCGTGTTTATGATGGTGACGATGGGCTGAGTGGTCTCTGTGTTTCTCCTTGCTCACAAGTGGACTGGAATGTTTGCTTTTTGCAGCACCTTCATCTGAGGAGCTGTGCCGCTCAGAGGACACCTTTATTTTCATTTTTAGCTCCTCTTTACTTGATCCCCCCTTCTCGCTCTGGGAGGGGACCGGAAGACGCAGTTTTAAAGAGCTCCCTTTCTCACATTTATCCTGGATCTTGTCCTGCCCAGGCAGCTTTATCTTCAGGGGCGAGGCTGTGGTGACTCCTGCTCCCTGCTGCCCATGAGACAGGTGGGGCAGGTGCTTGCGGTGATCTGTCTGTGTTGTAGCACCGTAGACCTCAGTCTCCACGTTCTGCTGCTCTTGTTTGCGTTTCTGAACTGCCAGCTCAGCAGCGTGTTTCTCCCTGTACTTGTCCAGAGACATTTTCTGTGTGGGTGCTGCATGGGGAGGATAGGTTGTGGCCTGGTGCTTGGTCCCACCACTCACTTTGTGTTCATGTTTGGTAGGGTTCAAATCTGCACTTTTATCAGGCCGTTGTGGGTGCATAGAACTGTGCGAGGGAAGCTGTTTGACAGAATACGGGTCTGAGCGCAGTTGGTCCTGAGGCCAGTCACTGGGAGCAGTGTAAGTATATGAGGTTCCCTGCATGTTGGCTATGGAATCGAGAGAAAGGCTGCTGCTCGAGTTGCCTGACAGACACACTGGGAAAGACGTAGAGCCTTTGGAGAATGCTGTACTTGTAGAGACCCCAGGAAGGGTATCCATCAAGGAAGGATCCTGGGTTAATGAGGATCCCGCTAAAGAACTGCTGTCTGAGCCCTGATTATCTGATTTGGGCTTTTTAGCAGCTTGTGTAGCCTGAAAATAAAATAACTGCGTGTAACTTAACCAGAATAAACAAACTTATAGGCAATAGATGTATGATATATCTATAGTAATCGCTCACCCTCCAGTTACGAATTCTCTTCAACCTGCTTGGCGTCTTCTCCAGTATCTGCAGAAACTCGTGGGTCAGTTCTACAAAATTTAAATGAATATAAATCATAAGTAACTTACACAACAAATATGGAAAATACGTGTAATGAGGTAATTTAAGGAAATGGGTTTTACCATCAAGAAGTTCAAGTGTAACTGAGTTGTCCACATACTCCCACCAGTGCTTTCCATCGGTGGAAACCGGGATCTCCCAGTTGGACCACTTGCAGGCCAGATGAATGCAGACACAGGCAATGACTGTGGGCTTGTGCTGCAAGCAGAAGGTGGTGAGGTGCAGACTGAAGAAAGGGATTTCATGTAGGAAGAAAAAAGACAGCGAAGAGAGAGCACAAAACTATTAGTTGCTAAGGAGATGGAAGGCGGCTTTAAATTGAAATAGAACTAACACCATTAAAACATTCCCCAATTCTGAGTAACATGCTTCCAAAATTTACCTGCACAGTTCAGAAAACATTTTAAACAGTGCCATGCAATTTAAACAAAATTCACAATTTAGATGATACAACAAAAACATTATTTCCAAATATACTAATCATAAATTATGTGCTAAATGAGTTTAAAAAAACAGAGCTAAATGGCAAGCTTAAAAAAGAAAAGTCACTAGAACAGATTTTCTGATCAAAATATTTTTGGGCTTACTCAATGTAAATATATATATACACACACACAATATGACCAACAGCTGTTTGATTGTAACTTCCTTAAATGTAATATTAAAAACAGCAGAAAAAAACTAATTATACTTTATCAAGTTAAATCTGTGCAAGCCCAAAAAAGAATAGGTTTGTTACTCATAATCAAGGATCAATTTGATACCACTGACATAAAACTGTACAGTCAATAACAGGACCTGTAGTCAACAGAATCACAGGTAACAGTAAAGCACACAAGCATACGGTTACCATCCATAATTACCCCAAGCCCATTTTATGAAAGGTGTAACAAAGGACCGACTGTCCCAAAAAGGACTTATTTTTAAATATCCCAGTGAACTTGCCACTAAAAGCTGATAGTATAGTATTTTAAAGCATGTCAATGTAACTTGTACTCCTATAGGCCAGAAAAAATTCACAGTGTCTGAAAAAAAATGGCAACAATATTTTGAAAGTATTGGGGTACACACTGAACAAAATTGTGTTTTACTGATATTTGGAGAAAGTAAAATGAAATGATAAACTAAAGCTTCAATTAAAGCTGGATGGTAACCCTGTGCTACAGAACAGAATCAATGTTTGGACATGGGGAAAGAGAAGCCTTTAATTTCTAAAGCTACAAAGCAAAAAGTTGAGTGCAATATTAAAAAACTGCATTAGCTATGTGTCAAAAAGACAAAAAAAAAAGCAGCCTTTATTTTTATTGAAAACAACAAAAAAATATGTAAATTACTCTTCAAATCTATAGTCATCTTGATTGAGGTAAAAAAAGCAAAAACAAATGCAAACCAAATATGTCCCAACCAGCCACATTATGTGCAGATCATGTGTTGAGTGCATGCTGCTCTCATCCCATGTTCAGACATTACATACAGTGCTGCAGTGTCTGTATGCAAAGGGGGCAGAAACTAATGACAGCTAATCTAATTTAAAAATAATAAAAACAACTGCTAATTAAGGTGGAACAAACACAAAATAAAATAATAAAAAATATAATGCAATACAGATTACACCCTTTAAGGACCCTTTAATGAACACACAACCAAAAAAAACATTTGAATGCATTATAATAGGTATAAAAGACTTGGCCAATGAAAATCTCAATTTATAAACTCAAACAGGTCCTTAATGGGTTTGACTGAGTAGACCATGGGTATATGTATCACAAGGGAAGAACAACAGATGTCTCAAAAATGAAGACACTGAATGACAAAAATAAAAAAACAGAAACAGTGCTTCTAAGTAGTTTGAATATGAAACAAAGACCAAAACAAAAGTTTAATTATCACTTTGAGAATAACAAAATCATAAGAACAAAAAAACAAAGGGGTCTGGGTACTTACCGTGAGTACTTCTATGTAATGTTTACATCTGTGTAATCTTTAGCTGCTATTCAGGCTACCAAAGTGTCTGTTCTAGACAAATGCACTTCTGTAACCGAGCAAACGTGAGGTTCAAGAGCACCACTACACTTCACATTGTGCATTCAACCCCTCTGTGCCAACAATGATCCCCCGTACAATACACCGCACTGCAACCGGGGCCGGTGCCGCCGAACCCCCTCCCCACCCCGATCTGAGGGTCTGTTTGAGAGGGGGGGGCTTCCCAGTAGCCACCGGTGCAAGGAGGGTGTTGGGCACTGGTAGGGTAACCTGCAGTAAAGGAAGCTATAGTGTGCAGTCACAGTGCAACAAATGAGGTTCTGGATAACAACCTGTTGGTAGCCATGAAATAGGAAGTCTGTGCCAGATCCTTGCTTGCTGGAAAAGAGTAAACAGAAACATAAAGGCAAAAGAGTGAGAATGAGTCAACGAATGCTGTATGCAAATAAGAGTGAAACCTAATTACACTCAATTCGGTGAGGTTTACCTCTCCACAACCTGCATGCTTAGCCATAGTTCAAAAGTTTGTTTCAAATATTAAGTGAGCGCTGTTTTATATCTAAAAGTGATTGCATTGAGCAAATGAAGGAAAATCTATACCTCGCACTAGCTGGGAACATTTCACCACATCAGTGTGTGGATGTTCAATTGTTATTTCAAAGCCTGAAATATAAAGCACATGAATTTCATTCATAGCTGAATCACACTATTTCAACACCTGTGGAACATGAAAGAGAATCATGCATTAGTAACAACAATGCAAAATCATGGATACCCATTTATCATGTAACAAATCTGAGATTTATAGAATATCCTTCTTTGCAATAAGGATTAAAAGTACCATTCTGGTGAATTTAGTCAAGATGATTCAACTTTTCAGGCAAAAAAAAAAATGTGGTATGCTTTTTTGGTTTAAAAATCCAAAAGGTGAACCACTGACAGCAAACCTTCTGTTCACTCTAAAATTCATTTGAAAGGTACCTCCTTCCATAGACTTACCTAATGTCTGCAGCACTATGGTTTCAAGTATCACCAGCTCTTGAGCTTGCTGGAGGTATGCCTGAAGTTCAATAGACAATCATTACATGAGGCTTGTAATGTGTCTTTTTTTAATCTTCAACCGATAAACAATTCTTTGCACTCTTCCGATTACAGTCAAAACAACTGTTTGCCGCATAAATAAAACTTTACTGGAGCACTTAAGATAACATTCTTTTTCAAGGGAGATTTTTGTCCCAGGACTGATACACTGGATATGTAATGTCAGTGTCTCACTAGTCCATTTACAGCTGTAGGCCTCATTTACTTTATTGTTGGAGTCGTCATCATCACAGGAGAAAAATGTGACGTCATTTTAAAGACATAGTCCATCAAAAACTATTATTTTTAACAGAAGGAATTTTCTCACCTTCCATCAAATGTTCATATTCAAAATGTTTAAAGAAAAATTCAGGCTACATTGGTTTAACAAGATGTTCAAATCCAGGTCTTTGTTTTTAAGCACTTTGTAAATGTGTTAAAGTTTTTCATGTAAATAAAAGTCTAAATCAGGGGACGCCAATCGCAGTTCTAGGAGGGCTAGTGTCCCTTTAGAGTTTAGCTCCAACTTGCCTTAACACACCAGCCTGGAAATTTCAAGTACACCTAGTAAGACCTTAATCAGGTTCTTCAGGTGAGTTTGATTAGGGTTGGAGCTAACCTCTGCAGGGACACCGGCCCCCCCACGAACAAGTTTGGTGGCCCCTGGCCTAAATAAAATATTTTATTTCAGAGCATTTCCATCATATAAAGCTATTAAAATAATCCATTCCCTTCATATGAATTTATTATCTAGTTTTTTACCTTTGAGGATCAACATTACTGATAATTTCAATGAATAGAAATAAACCTCTTTAACATTGTTTTACATAACCTATGAATTCATTTCACATTTCTTTTATTTCATGAACTATCAGTGTCAAAATGGCTAAAATAATCAAGCTAAATAATATTTACATTTTTATTATAGGTTTTTATTTTTAAAAGCATATATTCAGCTTATTATTGCCAAAGACTTTAGGTAGTTTTTTCCAGCTGCAGTAGAAACTTTCTAAAACAGAATCGCACATGTAATGTTGAAAATTACTGTCATTGAGGGTCATGACTAAAACATGATTAGATGTAAAGGACACTTTTAATTGCATGTCTTGTTCTGACAGTGTTAAAGTTGACTAGTGAGACGCCTGATTCTGTAGCAACAGAATCTAAACACTTAGTTGTAGCAGAAAATATCCAGTGTGAGGAATAGGTAATTGATGAGGACAATATAAATAGTAGTAATACCTAGCACTTACATTACTCTTCGTATCCAGTGGAGGCTCTTGGGGGTTTAAACATGCATGCGCTACTTTAATGACATGTTCGAGTTTCCGTGGTTGCTCTTCAACTTTTGCAGCCAGAAATAATGTTGTTGGGGAGATGATCTGTGGAGGGAAGAGAGAAATATATTTTATGGTCACGTCAAAGATGAAAGCATACATTAAAATTCTCATATCAGTCATTTACTCATATTTTATCCTTCATTTTTGAAATATTAAGTAGTTTGAAGCTCCTGATGAGACTAAACAAGAAATAACATATGAATCGAGAAGGTAAAGGAAGGAGAATATTAAACAGCATTATATTTTCTGCATCACTTCATTTCACTTTAAATTTGAAAAGTGCATCAACTGCTGTACAGATGGACCATTTTACACTCCAAATGAAATGTTGAGACTCATGAATACTCGTGTGGTTAAAAAGTCATGTAGTGAAGATAAGAATACTTACATTTCTGTGGAATTTGGTGAAAGAATGGTACATATAAAATCTGTGCATGTAAACAATGGCAGTATTTATTGTGAGTTGAGAACTGGCGTTTGGAGTTAAGGAAATCGTGGGGTTAGGTAATCTCAGCCATTACCAACACAAGCACGCATTCATGTTTCATAGTCATACAAATTGCACGCAAAGTATCTAAACCATTACATAATTCAAATCTGGTCACGTTTGGCAATGCTGAACGACGTTCATACTTCATACCGGTAACCGGCCTACTTTTGTGCCACTGTCATTACAATGCGCGCGAGTGCTACTGTCACGCGCCCCACAAAAGCAATGTGAAACGACTACTTTAAGTAAGTTGTAAATAGACAGGGGAGGTAATATCAAGCTCATTAACCGATAACGTTATATAAACAAACTGTAACTTACGTCACTCGTTCGTAGGACATGTACATTGACCACAAAGTACCCGCGTGATACATGAACACGTTCTTCTAACATACACGACTTTAAATTACAATGTCGAGCCATTTTAGCCAAGTTCAGCGCTGTTATATATACTCGTGGCAAAAAGAAATTAAAGGTATCATATGTATTGAGACAACACAAACAGTCACAGAAGACAGAAACGGGCCTGCTGTTAACCAACGCTTCTGAAGGATACACATTTAGTCTCTGGCCCATGTCCTGAATAAGATTCGCGGCTTGCTGTCGA